TGGAACCAGCTCTGTAAGCAACGTAGGTCACTTTGTCCCAAGCGTCTTTAGTTCTTTAAAGCTGTCTGATCATACCTGACTTTACACGTTTCATTTTCAAATATGACATTCAAGTCAAATCCTTGATGATATAATCATGTCTCTAGTTGTATCCTGTTACAAGAACAGATTCTCAGTGAACTTATGCAAATAACTATATATCACCACGAAAATGAGAATATTCACTAAAAGTTTCCAAATTCTGGAGGAAGCAGGTATGGAGAAAAAGTATTTCTATTCTGCTTAACAAAGAAAGGTATAATTCACCAAAGTGCTGTAAATCATAGATGGATTAAGAGAAAAAATTTTTCCTTAAATCTGGAGAAACAAAACATGTTTCAAACAGAAGCTCATAAAAATTATAATCATTCTCATCAGGTTCATTCAATCCCATGTTACTATTTTTTGTTCTGCTTGAATCCAGTTTGTCCATTATTTCTGGAAATTCTTACTTCAATTTTACAATCTTAAAGTTATCAGAAATCTGTAATATACAGTACTTGCCAGAGTCTGCTCTGTGACTTTCTTTGATAATGAAACATACATCCATACAAATATAATCAAGAAGCTTTACTCTTCTCATTTGACAATGCATCCCACATAATTTAACATACAAAAATAGGCCTAGTTAATCTTTTTACAAGGAGAGAGAACACATCTTTTGAGATGTTTCAGGGGCCCTCTGGAAAATCCCAAAGTTATTTTGAGGTCAAAAAGACTTCATTTAAAATTTGATTTAGGGAAGTTTGTCAAAAATATCAAAGGTTTTGGACCCTTGAATAAACAGAATCATAAATCATCATGAAACAATAATTATCCAACTAACCCACGACAATTTAAAAAAATTTCAAAGGCAAATACAGAAGGTCACATAGTTGTGAACAAAACTTAGCTCTTTTAATCTTTAAAAGACTCAGTTTTCTAAAGTAATCAAAGACCTGATGATAAAGATAACATGAAGCACAGGAAATTATTTTGATAAAAGACAAAATCTTTGCTTTCCAGGCAGATTATTTAAAAGGTAAAGAAAAACCTTCAGTCTCTTATCAGGGGCAAACCAAGAGTCCAATAAAGCTATCTTTTTAGCAAATGAAAGAAAATTTAGTTTTACATAATTACACTATTGCTATTAAGCTTATTTTTAAAACCCTTATAATAAATTCCTTTAATTTTAGCCAGCTTGACTACACAAGGTAAAATTTTCTTTCTCTCTCTTCCCAGCTTTCTATGTCCATTTAGTTTGCCCTTTATATTTTCCTGTTCCCTATTCTGCAAATAACTAGTTTTACTTTAAAATTCCTTTCATTTCCCTTAACAAAAATGTATGTCTATACCTTCTCTTAGCCAAAAACACACCCTACTTCCTGCGTACAGAGTTATTATTTCTACTTGTATTTTTTTTACTGAAGTGCCATCAGTTACAATGTGTCAATTTCTGGTGTACAGCACAGTGTCCCGGACATGCATATACACATATTCATTTTCATATTGAACATAGCTCCCTGTGCTATACAGCAGAAACTTTTTTTAAATCTATTTTTATATATAATGAGTAACATTTGTAAATATCAAACTCCCAAATTTAGCTCTTCCCACCCCTTCTAGTAGTTTTAATAACCCTTAGAAACCTTAATTTCGTGAAAACTAAGAAGTAAGCACTGGCAGCCTGTTACACCAGCATTCTTTAGACTGGCAAATTTATGGCCATATTTCGTAATTTCTAGAAGCTGCGCTTCCTCTTAGTACCGCACAAGATATGTTTCCTAATAAACCCAAGTATCTTTGATTCTGTAGTAAGAAGCCAAAAGTAGACAAACCTATGTTTAGGAATTAATGTTTTAGTATTTTCTTACTTGGAAATGATCTAGATATTCAATGAATTTTGAACCGTTTAACTTAACAAAACTCTTAAGTTACCAAAGACATTTGGAAAACAATTTTTAAGTAGGTATACCACAGAAAACACTCATTGCTAAAAAGTTCACCTAAAAACCTTTATCCCACTGACATCTATCTAAATCACTTGCTCCCAACAATTATATTTACTCACAGAAACGTCATGAGGCATTACACAAAGTCAGCCACTATCCAAAGGTGTTTCTCTTGCTGGCAGATTTTGTAATAGAGGTGACATGAATTTATTTGAATAGTGATCCCAGGTGGGGTAACAGTTGCATATCTGCATTACATCTAATGTTGATAACTCTGAAGACCTGCCTGTTTCATTAAACCAACAAACTTAACCTAGCTTCTGTTTACCAAAGATTATCCCAGAGCACACAAAGTTCAAAAAAATTGGAGTTAGTTTCTCTATTTTTGAGTTTTAGGAACACTTAATTTGAAAAGCACTTATTTTTCTTAAGCCAATTAAATAGCACTTTTATGAATTAATTTTGGCAATACCATTTAGAGGCAGAAAAATATCACACATTTATAACATACATATGTAAACACATACACACATACAGATGTAAACAGAGACCTTATGGCTTCAGTTCTAAAATTTCAGCCATGAATTAGGTGTAACAACACAAAACTCACTAGTTTATAAATGAACAGTTGGATCCAAATTGTGTTTCTGGCAGTTGGAATAAGTTTACCTGCTCAGACTGCTAAAGCTTTTTTTTTTAAGACTAATATTTGTATTTTTTATTTTTTTCATTTGCCCAGTTTCTAAATAGCTCCTTTTTGCCCTTCTGTTGAGAATCCTTTTCCTAAAGTCTGCATTTCTAAGAGCTGGCTGTCAGCCCCTAGGGAAGTCATGGTAGAGATATGACATCTCAAAAGCACAGAGAAATTATCCACATTTTTTTTGAAGTTTTGGGGTATCTTTGCCTTTTAGCAGAGGTTTAGAGTAGTTACTATTTAAATTTTTCCTTTTTCTTAAGTGCAGAACAGTTCTGTTTCTAATAATGTCCAGCTCTTTTACAATGCCGACAAGTATTTTGAGATAAATAGGGCAGGTTTGGGGATTGGTGAGCAGAGGTGGACTTTGCATTGCTTCTAGAGCTGCATTTCTGGTTTGGGAGAGGTTTGCAAGACAAAGACAGTTGTTTCTAATTCCTCAAAAAATTGGATTGTAGCCTGAATGATATCAAGGGACTGACCCGCCCATCCAGCTACATTTTCTTCAATTTGCTTTGTATCAAGGAGATTTCCAATTAAGATGGAAATCAAATGATTTCTATGTTCTGGGGTTTCAGGGCTTAATGTAGCATGCCTTTACAAAGTCTGTATAAAGTGTTCAACAAAGGCCTTTGAATGTTCTCCTTTTTCTGAGTGCACAATTCAACCTTAGACCAATTCACCTTACAGGGAAAAAGCCCCTAGTATTGCTTCTTATCAGCCCCTGAACATTGGCCTTCAGCTGATCCATTTCCTGACACTTTGTCGGCACAGGACTTTTCCAGCACTAAATGAGACAGGGAAGGTTGAGATGACAAGGGCCCCTTAGGGACCAGGACCCCTTATGACAAACTTCCACGAGAGCTGGTACAGACAGACAGAGAAGGCTGCTTATCACTTTGTGTCTCGGATCCCAGCCTGTTCAGTTGGTCACCAGATGCAGGCAGACACATGCACCCTCCAGCTGGCAGAACCAGAGACAATATTCTCACTGGTCACAAAGCCAAGCTCGCAAGACAGAAAAGACAAGAGGAAAAGCTCATCTGTCCTTTGGCTCTCCTTATGACAAACACCACAAAAGAAAACAATGACCGTCTCTGGGAGGAAAGAGGATCAACAGGAAAGTACTCATAACAAAAATCGCTACCAAAGTCACTATACCTAAGGGACAAGCTTACACGGATATTTTCTCCTGCTAATCGAAATCTGGAAAGAAGAGACAAGGGGGAAGTTTTACTTTCCTCTCTCAACCTGGCACCAGAATGAGATCCAGGAGAGCTGACTTTGCTAAGACTTCTTACCCTTCTCTGGCTCCTGCCAGCTTTCCAAGAGCCCATCTGCAGGTTCCCAAGCGAATATGGCATCTCAGCAGGTCGCACAGTAGGTTGCCAAACTGTCAGGGAGGAAAAGTAATTTTCCCTTTGTTTTTCTAGGTTCTTGGCCGAGACCCCCCCTCATCCCCCCTTAATCATAGACAGATGAACAGGGGGAAAACAGAAGTTTAATAGTATGCATACCTCCTGTATACTTGAGAGGTACCCAGGAACAGTAAAAACTCCCTGAAATGGCCCTTGACACCACCTTAAATACTGTCTCCAGCTAGAGATAAAAGATGTTGGGGAGGGAGGGAGCCAGTTATCGGAGGATATCAGGAAAAGCACAAAAAACACAGGTAAGGTGGTTGTACAGATTTAGGTCAGGGCCTTTCTCCATTGATAGGAGTCTCTAGAGATGTCTCCTCTTCCTGGTACAGAGGGAGACACCCTTGCAAATAGAGATTCCCCTTGTAACTGTAAACGTCTCTTACAGAAGGGTAACGTCTCCTCAGTTTTCAGAGCTTTTCCTGTGTCCGCTGTTTCATAAAAAATAACCAGCTCAAGATAAACCTTGTGCCAAAGAGGCGTATTTTGGGGTGGCAGATTGTTCCCCTTCAAAAATAAATACACACTGAGCTGCTCCCTTAGGTATATCTGGGGAGAGGAATGAGTACTTTCACCTCTGTTACATACACTTCTGTGTTCAGCTTTTTTTCACTTTGTTTTCTTTTTTCTTTCTTTTAACATTTTTTATTGAGTTATAGTCATTTTACAATGTTGTGTCAAATTCCAGTGTAGAGCACAATTTTTCAATTATATATGAACATACATACATTCATTGTCACATTTTTTTTCTCTGTGAGCTACCATAAGATCTTGTATGTATTTCCCTGTGCTACACAGTATAATCTTGTTTATCTCATTAACACCTTTAAGAAGTTGTTTCCTTTGGATTTTCATAGGTTAAGATGCCATATTGTTGAAAGCAGTAAGCCAACCACTCTTACATTAAAAGACCATGCTTTTAACATGTCAGATAAAACCAGTGAAGATCTGTATCTGCAAGTAAGTGTTCTTTCTTCCTAACGAAAACAAGTTTTTAATGTTAAGCAATATAAGAATTCCATTCTTTCCCACTGACATAAGGAAAACCTTTCGCATAGACACAACAGAAAAGCTCTCCTTTGTGAAGAAGCCAGAGCAGAAATGGTAAGTGGTGGGTTCCTCTTGGAGATCTACTCCCTTTCTGAAAGCTCTGGCTATTCGGATGTGGACTGGACACCGTATAGCAAAGCACATAGTGCTTTGGAGAATATCAACGAACTTGATCTCATGGAAAAGGTACCACATAGTACATGTAAATTTGAAAAAGATGGAGGGGCTCTCTGAGTAGCTGGTTTCAGTACCTCCAGGAAGTGATTGCTTTGCTCCTTTCGCAGCCAGAAAATTAGATCTTTTCAAAATGACACTAAACAGATACACATCTGTTTACCAAACAAATCTAATTCCTCGTTGCATTTCCAGTCCCCAGCCTTTCAGAGTAGGTGGACTCTATCCCGTAAATGTTTGTGGGATTGCTAATATTCCTGTCTGTCCTTCCTATGAGTACTGTACTGTGTTACTGACACAAATCTTTCATCCTTTTTTCCCTCTTTAGCTCAATCGTTTACTAGAAAGCAATAGGAAGCTTGAAGACCAAGTTCAGCGCTGTATCTGGTTCCAGCAGCTGCTGCTCTCCTTAACCGTGCTCTCGCTTGCTTTAGTCATCTCTTTCTTCTATCTGTTGTACAGTTAAAGAAGTGGTGCTCCGTAGCAAATCTGGCTCTTCCGTTCATTAGCTGGAAAAAGTAAGACCCGGAGCTTCTCCACCACGCTGACAGTGTCGCACATCTGTGCTTCCACCGAGGAAATGTATGACATTTAGGAGGGGAACTGGAACATCTTGAAAATAAAGTGTTAGAATAAGGAAACACTGAAGAAGTTGATTATAAGAGACTATAGGTAGTTAGGAAAGTAAGTAAAGGCATTATCTGTTGTGTGAATTAATAGTTGAGATATATTTATTTTTCCCTTTTGATCTGGATACTTTGAAAGCTTGTTTTATCGTGTATATATATGTCAGCTGAACGGAAAAGTCAAAGTAATGTGCTTTGTTGCAGCCAAAAAATGTAATCTGCTTTTTTTTTGGACAGAATTATTATAGCTGAGCCAACTTATTTAGCTTTTCTATACTATGTATATAGAAGAACACGTATATTGCAAACCCATACAGAGTAATTTCTGTCACCATGACTCTGTAACTTGGAGAACTACTAACAGATGCTCGTCCATGTCCTTTTGGAATGTACAACTACTTGATGCCAAACCACCGTTAGCCTTTGTTTCTTATCCGTCTTCCCTAACGGCCTGCCTGCCTTTTATTAATCATGGACTTTTTAATGAACACTCACACTCTCATTTAGGGAGAATTTGGGGAACTAAGTCTGGTTGGATTTTCTCTGAATTCTGTTAGGAACGTCCAGAAGGAAGACCTCTCCAGTCCCACTCTCCAGTCTTTCGTATGCAGGTTCACGTTACTCTCTATAGCTGGACACGGACCCTTTTGCTTCATTTATTATAAATATAAAGGCTTGATTCTCCAGTGTACCGTCTTCACCCTCTCTTCTCAATGAAAGGAATTAGAGAAAATGTTCTGAAAAGTTAATCTTTGAGATGCATAGCAATATAATTCATTTCCATTTCACGTCCTTAAAATCAGCCATGAGAAGGGAACTTGACAAAAGACTGGAGTGTCTCTAAGGACAAAAAAAACATCGAAACTCGAGTGTCAGTTCTCCGTTTAAGAGTGAAAAATGGAACGCAGTGCCCGACTGTAGAGCCGTCAGAGCAGGGCTGACCGATTCACTTGACGCCCCGCCTCCGCCACAGTCACGCTGAGGATGGTTCCTAAACCCCTAAAATGACACACGCTGCCGGAGCGGAGGCTAACGGAAGTAGTTGGTTTTCTCATTAATATACCCACTTTCAGTCCGTGTTGGTTCACATGTAAATCGACTTTATATGAAAGAAAAAAAAACATAGTCTGCCTGTTAAAATAAATTTTGAGTTGTGACTGAGCCACGTTTGGAGAATGTTTTATTCCGAGGTGTAGTGTTGGCGACTTGCATCTTGAGAACTTGATGATTCCAAAACTGAGCTCCGAAGAATGATATACTAGAGCCCCTTCAAAATTGGCCTAGGAAATAAAACCTTAAATGGACACTGGTCTGATACTTTGTCTTAATTTGGGTTTTTCTGTTTCAGTTTGCCAACTCCAGCTGCGAAAGTGACTGCAGGCCACCCTAAGTACTGTCCGTAGTATCTCCCTGTGTCTGTGTGCACAGCGGTCTCCCCTTCTGTGTTAGATTCCTGGCTTTATTATAAGCTAATCCCAAAGTATCTGTGTGTGTGTTTTGGTCTTCAGAAAATAAATGAAGAAATAATTAGTCAAAATTGGAAATGTATTGTCCTAACGGTGTCCCTTTAATGTTTCACATGAAAATTACTTTGACTCGCTAAAATGTCTTTCCCTGATGTCTGGCCAGTTGAATTGAATAACATATCTTGTTAACATTTGTGTGTCTATTATGTGACTAAGCAAAATTTACTGAAAATTATAAAATCAAAGGCATCTAAACTTTTGTACTTGTCTTGATTAATCACATATATTTACATTTGATTTTATTCTGTCATTTGATTTTATTTAATCATATTTGTATGATTATTTTGAGTATGATTAATAATTTTATCTTTTAATATGTCATTACCTGTTCATGACCAAATTACCAAGGACCAACATTTAGATTTAAATTGTTTTCACTTTGGAATGGAAATTCAGAGAGTTCCCATGAAAACATTAATGAAATATCATTATAGGCAAGTAGCCTAGAAATCCAATTGCTGGTAAACCTAGCCTCAAATTTCATAATATACCATAACTGTTTTTATATCCTGCCACTAATTTTGACTGGATTTAATAGCACTTTATTGTACAATTGCAAAAAAAAATATATTCCTAGAATTGTTGCCAGTGTAATTTCTCTAATGTTCTGGTGCTTTTCATATATTTTCAGTATTTTTATTACTATATTGGTATTTTCTTTGTATAAACTGATCTAAAGAACATGTTTTCTATTTTAATATGTTTTAGAAAAATAATTACATTTATGAAATAAATATCATCAGGAAAAACCTCTGGTCTCTAATTGATAAAGCATCTTAAAAAAAAAATCAATGTTCAGGCTCACTCTGACCATTCAAAGATCACACTGATTTCTTCTCGTCCTGCTTTATTTACATTATTTTCTAAGGATGGCACCACAAACTTCCAAAGGTACAACTGTGTCATCAGATGAACCTGTCCTTGGTGTGGCCCATTTCTCCTTGCCCCCAGCTCAGGGTCTGGCTGTTCCTTGGAGCTGTCCGTTTTCCCCAGACTTAGCCTGCCCTCACTGTCACAGCCAGGGCCTGGGGGCTCCACCGTGGAATCCATCACTAGAGCTGCCCCACATCCCGCAATCCTAGTACCTACACACCTGCCTGCCTGACTGGCAGGAAGCAGGCTGATGAGAAGTAATCACCTGGCTGCCGGGTGCGTGGAAGTTGGTCCCTGCCCGGAGGCACCAGAGCACTGGGCAAGGGGCGTGGTGTGGTTGGGGAGGGGTGGCAGGGCATCCCCGGATGCTGATGGAAATGGCCCTGGGGATTGTTTGTGTGGTCCCCTCACCACTGGAGGACTCAAATCCCAAATGGCAGCTAATTCTCCAGAAAAATAGACCAAATAGATTCATCTTCCAAACTGAAAAAGAGGTGGAGATATGAAACCTCTCCTCTCCCTTTGCATGGGAGAAATTCAGAGTACAGCTACAAAGACAGACCCGTGATCTACCCGGAAGCACCGCACCTACCCAGGACTGCGAGGGTGTGGCCTCCTTTCCTAAAAGACACGATTTTCTAGGAAACAGAAGAGCTCCTGTGGGGAAAGCTCCAGCTAGAGAAGGCTCGGTTACTTTAGAACAACCTTCAGCTCTTTCTCCTCTAAATTTTAGCAGCCACTTGAGGTTTCTTGACGTCGGAACAACATGGGTCCCCAGAAGCACAGGGCTCCCCTTTTCTCCCTGCCCAAGACGGAAGTCCTTCCATTTGTCCCATCTGAGGCATTGGTGGTCAGGAGTGAGGGCTCTGAACGAAGACTGCCTGGGTTCCAGTCCCTTCTCTGACTTTCACTACCTGTCTGACTTGAGAATGTTAACCTCTCTCAGCCTCAGTTTCCTTTTCCCTCATTAAGTCTGATCATCATAGTACTATGTCACAGGATGAATGCCAGATGAAGAGGAAATGGTGCATTTAAAGCGGCCCTGGAGAAGCCAATCACCTCTGCTACCCTTGCCTCCACCACTGTCCATCCCGGCTCCCTAGAACTTTTCACACTTGGGTTGATCTTCCTCAATATCCCACCACATTCAAAGCCAACTGTCAGTTCTCCAGACTTTTCCCTGCTTTGTACTCCAACCCTTGCTTTCTTGGTACCTCACTCAATCCTCATACCCAGGTCAAGGGATACATGTATTCCAAGGATGATCAGCGTCCTTGAATCCTGTGAAGGAGTATCCCTTACCAGTCTGAGGAAGACTTGGTTTGATGTTTCCTTCCACCATTACACTCACACCCCTTCAAAACACCACGCCCACACCCGGAATTGATCTTGCAGTATCCCACCCATCACAGTTTCCCCTTATATTTGTAACAATTCAATAAAAATATCATGTAGGATCTTTCACATCTTAATAATGACTTTGTCCTTAACAACAAATATAGTTACTTCCCTGTAAAGTTCAAAGATCCTCTTCCCTACCCTACTCATATCCCCTGCCATGCAAAGCAAAACCCTTGCCTTACACAGGTTAAAATATTTGAGGCAACTGGTTCAATTGCCCAGACTATAGAGGAACATCTCCCTGACCCATAGGAACAAGATTGTGCCCATTTTCAAGTCTTTCTAGAGCTAGAATTTGATCTTTGAAACTACCAGTTGTTCATGTTCCATTGTCTCAACAGCCTGGGAATACATCATAAGATCTTTTGTTTTACAGATAAGGAAGCCAAGAGCCTGAGAAATAATTCCCTTTCCCAAAGTCACACGGCTACTTGGTTTCAGAGCCAAGAGTTGAACTCATCTCCCAAGTCCACTGCTGGTTACAAGCACTCAGAACTGCCACGTCTGAGTAGTAGGTTCAAATGTTGAAAGGACAGGTCTGAGAACTTTACCTACCCTAAAACAGCAGGAGAGGAAAAAGAGAAGGTAGAATACTTGAGAAGCAGAGGTGACAAAAACACAAATAACTGCTCAAGATCCTTGGCTGGAAAAGCAAGTTTCTTTGTATTCTAAGCTCCAGACAGACCTTACTTTGAAATAGCTTGGAAACGTACAGGTTAATGTACTGTTTACGTTGGTGGAGGGCTTTGTTATGCAGCATCAACCTTCTAAGAGGTTTATCCATCACTCTGTAGAAGGGCATCTAGTAGGGTATGTTGCTGCTAGTTGTCTCAGCCATAGTCTAGGCACCTCAAGGAGTCATGTGTTTAACACAATCAGATCATTTAAGTTTTCTACTGCCATGGAACAAATTACCATAAATTTAGCATCTTAACCCAAATTTCCTCATAATTTACATGGGTTGAGCCTGGTACAGCATGGCTGGGTTCTCCAGTCAAGGTCTCACAAGACTAAAATCAAGCTGTCAGCTAACTGCATCCTCCATGGAGGCTCAACTGGATAAAGATCCACTTTCAAGGGCCTTCAGGTTGTTCGTAGAACTCCTTTCCTTGTGGCTGTAGGACTTTGGTCCTCAATTTCTTGCTGTCTATCAGCCAAAGACTGCTCTCAGCTCCTACTGGCCACTCCCAGATCTTTGCTATGTGGGCTCCTCCGTGGGCAGTTCACAACACGGCAGTTCCCACCTGAAATCTCTTCTTTCACAAAGAACCTAGTTCCATTTAAGGGCCCACCTGATTTCATCAGGTCCACCCAGGATAGCCTCCCCTTTGATGAACTCAAAGGTAACTGATTAGGAATCTTCCATCTGCAAAATCCCTTCTGCTGTATAAGCTAACCTACATCACTGGAGTGCTGTCTTAGCACGTGCTCTAGCCCCAGCCCTCACTCAAGGGGAAAGGGTTATAGAGGGTGTATGTTGGGTGTATATAGAGGGTGTATGACCTGCAAGCTCATCCAAACTGGTCCCTCACTTTACAGACCAGGAAACAGAGGGTCAGAAAGCTGAACCCAATCTTACCCAATCAAATGGACTGCTCTGAATTCATAGATGTCCTGCACATAAAAGGAAACAGACTAGAACTTCTGTGTCAGGCACCAAACGGTAGGCGTGGAGGACAGGAAGTCTCTACCCTAGTTGGCTTTCTTCAGTCTCACAGCACACAAGTATTCACACTTTTATAAATAATCTGTTAAGGGAAAGTATGTCACCACTATTTTAAGCATTTATTCAATCATTAAAAGAAAAAACAACACTTGAGAAACATTCTCACGAGGAGTTAAACGTGCTATGGCCAAGAGGACTTCCAGTAATTGTGTGCTTTTGTAAACGAAGCTCTAGTGAAAAAACAATTAGTTGTTTTTTTTTTAACTTTCCCTTTTCTTTCAGAATAATCCATTCACTTCAGTTTGTTTGTTGAAATTAGTTTTCTTGGACATATATATGCTCTGTGAACACAGCTACAAGAAAAGGTTGAAACTAAGAAAGGAAAAAATCATTTCTTACAGAGACTTGCATCGTAATTCCCAGCATTTACTGTCCAATTTACTTGCGATCCAAGTCCAGTGCCTTAAGTTCGATTATGCCAGAAAGTTCCCTGCAAATGTTCAGGTGATTCTACAGCTATGGATGTATGTGTGTTAAAAAATCTCACTAGTTTTTGTAAGTCACCCAAAACTCCTTCCGCACGGATTTGCTATTGCCCACAAATTCAGATTTAATTTCACCTTCTATGTATGTATATATTCTTGTTTCTGACTCAAGAAACTTCAAAACTCCTAATATTATGACTGTCCCATTTTGCAGTGTCTGGGAATATAACAAACTAAGAAGTGAGCCGTTTGTCTTGCCACTCCAGTACCCCTCTCTTTTCTGCAGCAAGCCCTCACTCTAATACTGTCATACAGATTTGTTCAGTAGAACTTCCTGTTTGCAGTTAAGTTTGCC